AAGGATTGGAATACACAAAACAAGTGATGCACAATGCAATAGCTCACCACTCGCTGACTGATGCCCAGTTAGTTCCCAAGCAGTGATCTGCCCCACTGGCCAACTCTCCCCAGTTTATATACCGGGCATGATGTCCCATGGTATGGAATACCCCTTTGGCCAGTTTGGGTCAGCTGCCCTGGCTGTGTCCCCTCCCAACTTCTTGTGCCCCTCCAGCCTTCTTGCTGGCTGGGCATCAGAAGCTGAAAACTCCTTGACTTAGTCTAAACACTACTTAGCAACAACTGAAAACAGCAGTGTGTTATCAACATTCTTCTGGTAGTGAACCCAAAACATAACACTATACCAGCTACTAGAAAGAAAATTAACTCTGTCCCAGCTGAAAGCAGGACACAAATGCAACATTTCATTCTAGAAATACATAGACTATAATTCAACAGAGGACTGAAATGGCTATTCTGGATCTTGGGCAGAAATTCAGTAAAAGTCACCTAGTTTGCAGGGATTCATCCCCACTCTTCCCTTGTACATTCGCCTGCCACATAAACAGAAGATGACTAAGTTCTCCAAATATTTAGAACTGTGCTCCTGCACAAGTCCAGATCTGTCCTGTTATAAGCAGCATAGTGCCTAATTCACGATAAATCAACTTGTTGATTCTAGGTGACTACCAATTCAGCAGGGAGGAACAACGAATCAGTGCTAGGCAAGAGTCTTAATTTCCTACAGTCAGTAATGAAGTGTGCTAATTACCTCTGTTATGTCCTATGAACTGATCAGAAGTTCTTTCCATTAATAGCGCACGGAATCTCCACTTTAACATCTGCTTGTTGGGTAAGGGGTGGGAGGGGTTTGGAACTAAAACACTTACGTTAGGTATTTAAGGTAGTCTATGTAATGAGGTGCTAAGGTCACTCAAAAGAAAGAGTGTCCACCTTCAAGAGAAAGTTCCAGGCTCTGTGTCCAAAATGAGCAAATATATGGGTAACTATAAGTGGTACAACTAATACCCAAGAAGGGGTTGGGATTTCAGATACAATGAATAACCTCATTACTTCCTACTGACCAGCTGTAGCCAGCTTCTTGTCAAATGCACTCGCTAGATTCCATTTACATTCTAGTTTGAAGCAAAACAACTGGTTAGCTCAAAACCAGTACAGAAAATCTAAGATTCCTCTTCAAGGCTTAAGAAGGAACTGCAGTTCTTAAGCAAATAAATATTTTCTGAAATTTTTTTACCTCCGTTTGTATCAGTGCTAAACAAAATGCCCAAATCAGTTAATACCACCAGTCTATTCTTTTTACTCTGTCCAAGGTCACAAGAAAAAGGATCAGGGGGGAAAAAAAAAAAAAAAAAATCTACTCCTGAGAAATTAAAACAGATTCACCTAAATCTCTGACACAATGCACAATGTATCCTGTTAACTCTATTGCCAAAATGGATCTCTTAATAAAATAAATGCCACAAATGTCTTTTTTCTAATTAAAAAAAAAAATCTAATATATTCAGTTATATATCAAGGCAAGAAAATGCTTTGTTGTTACTCAAAACTAGCCAAATGTTTTAAGCACCCTGGAAACACACGTCTCATGCACATAACTCCATGCTTCTACATTCTGTAGGAATAAGAAAGTCTGCGTTTCCTCTCTGCTACTAGAGGATTGCACAAATGAACAAAAACACTATGAAGAGTTTGGGTTTGGTTTTAAATCAGTCTTCCAAAGTCTCAGTATGTGTGGCTCTTAGTTCAAAGGACAAATATCTTCCATCTGCACTCAAAAAGGACTAAAATACAGCTGTTTGTATAAAATTTACAAGATCCAAACTAAAAAAACAAAACAAAACAAAAAACCCCCACCATCTTTTAAAATCAGAAGTAGTATGCTACTGGGCAAATTAACATTGACCAGGTATTTTTGTGCTATTCTAAGATTCAGTAAAATCATTTGTTAAGGTTGGTTAAATACTTTCTCTTGCATGGAAAAGTTTTTCCAGTTTTGATAATAGTAAAAAAAAAAAAAAATTGGCTTTATATAATATACATCTGTTTTATTTATTGTTCAGTCAATAGTAGGCATTAGGCTCAAACACTTGTACATGGCAAATACAGTAGTTACATGATCAAATAAAACTATTACAATTGTTTCATAACCCATTCCTAGAAGAATTCAAAATGAGTATGACACAAATTCTAGGCATATTATCATGTAGATTTTATTTACTCACATATACCACATCAGATTTCAGATGTTAAGAGTTCATATTTCATTGTTACACAACACAATGCAGGAGCAAGAAATGTTTCTCAAAATAATTGTTACTGCTCTGTAAGCAGCACTATATTATTTACTATAAAAATAAAAAGACAGTTTGATAAACGATAAAACATAGAAGCTGGTATATTAAAACATTTTACATTTTTACTAAAATTTAAAGTTTCAAGATGAAAAGGAAAAAATGCAGACATCAGAGTGTTAGGATTCCCAGAGGCATTATGAAGAGATGTACATGGTGCACTGCAAATGTGCAGGTGTACAAATGCTATCTACTGCTCTGAACCAGTAGAAAAGTCACTGAAGTTATTGATTTCTTAGCATTCTAATTAGGAAGTTCTACTAATTATCACTAGAACTACCTCAGATCTTCAACAATCCTTAAAAATTAACAGCCAGTTCAAGAAGCACTAGAGGATACTGGGAGGAGTACCATAAGTTTGCCCTGATCTTATACTCTTCCATAGACATCAGCTTGTAAACACAGTAGAAAACTAAATAGACACTGTAGATGGACTTTCCAATTGATCTAGGTCAGTTCTTATTTTAACTGTGCTGTGTATTAAATGAAAGAGAAGCATTTGAAAGCAAGCCATATGTGATGTATGCTGCATACCTGCAGGTACCATAGCTTCAGATAAGCGGAAGCTCTTGCCACACACACAATTACTGGGTGGATAGCTTGTTCCTCAACTCTTAATTCATATACCAACATATAAAGAGAAAGGTTTGCTGCCAACGGCAGATCCAAAGCACTCCTGTTCTGCCTAGACTGAGCTAAATGAAAAGTACCATTACAGAGCATACATGGCTTTTGCTTCAATAATTGAACAAAACTGTACAAATACTGAATGTGAGGGAAGAATACAAATTAGCAAAGGGAGGTTGGATGAGAAGTATAAAACCATATACAATTGACTTCCAAATTTGTCTCCTCTGTAGCCAGGCAATTAAAGTCAAAGAAAAGAAACCACTTTGATTGCCCAGAGGCAAGTACAGGCTCTACAAGCAAGGAAATTAAAAGAATGAGAAGCAATAATTCTATTTGTCAGAGATGCTCTGCCCAGAAAGGATTAAATGCACTTTTCTCATTTGGGGAAAAGTGGGTATACCCAAAATGTCTCTTAGTCAAAATCTTCTTAGTCCAGCAGGACATATTTTCCCATGAAACTTCTTACCAAGAAGTTACTTTGGCAAGGCAGTCTGCTTTTCCAGGAAGTTTAGCAGAGAACAGTGATTAAAAATACCACAGTTCCAACAACACTAGTCAGTTCTTCTACATAACATCCTCAGTCTGTGGATTAGTGTTGTATCATTGCCTGTTTTCAGCAGGAATCACTCTTATTCTTTCTGTACTTCCCTAAGACTATGCAACACCTCTTAGCAGCACTCATATTTCCTCCTTGGACCTCTTGTAAGAGTTACAAAGACAAAATGTATACTTGCTATCTGTGAGTTCCATTGATGTGCTGTAGACTTGTCTAGACTATTAAATACCAATCTTACTTTCTCCTTTGCACAACATCAGTGGTAGGTACTAGTGAAGACCATCAGTACCAAAAAAAAAAAAAAAAAGGGGGGGGGGGAGAACCACTGTAAGAAATCACTTTTGCTAATAAAAATTTATATTGTGTTCCTAGTGTACGACAGTACAGAGAAAAAGCAGGAAAAGCAAAACAGGAAGTGAGGGAGGAAAACAAGGGGGAACCAGTACTCTTTCTGCTTGGTCCGTTTTCTAGTGATTTGCCTTGACTAGCAGGATGTTTGGTTCCCTGCCCTAACCTAAAGGTTAAAACAAACATGAATTCAAGAGTTGGGTGCCAACTAAGAGGCACACAGCCACTGAACAGGTGGTTTGTATCACTGACATTAAAAGATAATTTTAGCTAAATTTGAGCTGGCCCCATTTGCTTTCCAGATAAGGTAAAAAAAAGAAATGTTATGCAGAAACTCCTACATTTCCTTCCACAGGGTAATAGGTAGACTTCAAAGACTTTTTAAATGAAAAACTGAAGTTTACTTTCCTTTCTACATTCTTAGCAAGCATATCTAACTATATTATATTTGTAGCTGGGAAAGGTCCATTTTCAGAAAGAAAATGCATACAGATATAATTACTTGGGTATTAATAAAGATTTCTAGACATGAGCTCTGGATAATGTAACCTGACTTAATAGACATTGAAACACAAATTAATGACTTCAGCTCTAACACAGCAGCAGTCTAAGCTATTGTTAAATTTCAGGCTTTTCAACTCTTTAGTGAATCAGTTTGGATCAAAAACTATGATAGATCACACCTTTACAACAGTCCTGCTTACTTATGTAGATTAGTTCCTTTTCTTAAATTGCCTTAACTGGAGGATAAGGCTTTATAAACAACACAAATGGACATCACTTTTTTTCTGTGAACTTTGTTATACTGATCCATCAAAAGGAACTAATCTGTGCTGTTCTAAAAACATACAAAGAAACAAATTATCCATGCTAAAGAAATGTTTAAGTAGTTCTGAACAACAGATGGGATTAGAAGGATTATAGAAAAGGTTACTCCTTAATATGAGTCATTTTAAAAGAGTGAACTCATCATCCACTGAAGTAGTTTCCATTCAATCTGTAAAATATATAAAGTGGGCACAGATGGAGAACATATTAATTTACAACTGGAAAAGCTTTCTTAAAATTTGAAAACTGCTTAACTTCTATGCAAGCATTAAGTAACTAAGAATGTGTATCTCAGCATACATGTTAATTCTCTCTCTCTCTCTTTTTTCTCAAGGTTTTCTACTCTCAGTTTCAAAATCTCTGCAAAAGGTAGAAGATGAAGATATGCTGCTAACCACATTAAATCTAGGAAAAACTCTTCGAAATGGAGCTAGAACTGCAAACAGAGGAGCTATACCTTTGCTGAAGCATTATGAGACTGAAGACAGCGGTGTTTTGGACAAAGATGATGACAGAAAAATAAAGTTTTTGGTGAGTTTTCAGTTTTATGTTTTGGCTTAATTGTAAAATGGAAATTCTCTTTATAGCCAATAAGAAAACAAGTACAATAATTTAAAGCAATAACTTGGTGAATATACAAAACTATCATTTTAACATACTATAGTAAAGAATAAATCTTCATCTGTAAGTATCTAATTCCAAGATTTTAAATGTGTAACTTGGACAGTTGAATAAAAGAAATCTGATTTTTACAGAACTATATGTAGCCAAAACTTGTGGGGGAAAAAACCCTATATTTATGCTTGATTAAGCATGTCCCTATATGCAGCAACAGGTTATTAACTTCACCAAATATAAGACTTATTATTTTATCATGTTCTTTACCATAAAACCATTTCAGCCCAAGACGTAATGCAGGTCATTCCTTTTAAAATATCATCTTGAAAGATAAAATACTTGCACTGCTAAGTATAAAGTGTAAAAAGTCAACTATAAAAAGTGAACACAACTGACTTTAAATAAAGATAAACTGCTAGTCTTGTTTTCCCTTGAAACAGGACACAGGTTCCAGACATGATTTCTTAAATCATGTTATGCCAACCAACTTAGGTAGAAAGCAGCTACCTTATCTTGCACTGAAAGGAGCCATGGCTTTTCCAGCTGACACTGAAATTCAAAATATTGACTCAATACAGGAAAGAGAGACTGCAGAAGAAGAAAATTCAGCTAAATTCCCTATAGGAAGAAGAGATTTTGACAGTAAGTATATTTTCATTTTTACACAAAAATTATTTCATTCTGGTAAAGTATAATGCAATGTCTATATAGCTATTTGATAAAGGTTCATTTAGAAACTCGATGTCTATTGTAATTCAGTGCACAGGGGAAGAAGCATTTGTTAAATTTGTTGAATTAATATTTCCAGAGGCCATAAAGAAGTCTAGTTCTCTGATGATTTAAACTTTCAAGATTCTTTTTTGCTGTAGTGCTCAGGTGTATGCTGGGAAGAGTCTATCGACCTTGTTGGCAAGTCTGAAAACTACTGATCCATACCACCTTCTTTGAAGATTAAAGATTTTACTATGAATTTAATGTAATTTGAAGTTACTGTGTTTTAGTGTGGCTATACACATGCATACAAAAATACTTTCCCATCGCTTTGTAGAGGGAAACATAACTCATTAGCAAAAAAGAACATCGCTGTAATTACTAACAATGTATTGTTATAAAAAAAATAAAAGACTTCTGCATAATCCAGACTTGTATTTGTCTAATATTACACACAAGCTACTTCAACTTATTTGAGTATGAAAGGAAGCGATTAATGAATTTCACACTTTTCTCACAAAATTTTACAACTTCTGAACCAGTCAATGTACCATGTATGTCAAAACAAAACCTTATAATCGAAAAAAGTTAGTTAATTTTGCCTGACCAGCAATCAACTTATTCTTGCTTGTAGTTTTGCTGTGTTTTCTTTTTCCACCAATTTTGCTGTCCAATTCCTTCTGAGAGTTGTTTGAAGTCTTAGGTCTTTTAGCATTTTTTTGCAAAGATGGTTCACTTTCCTTATCACAGATTACGTTGTCATTATTCAAATCCATCTGTTCATTCTTGGAGTTCTTGTTTCTTGGCTGACAACTCAGCTTTCCCATTTCTGTAAAACTTCTAGTCTGGTGAACATTTTCAGAAATAGTTCCAAGCACCGGTACATCAAGACATGAATCCATACCTTCTGTCATGTAAGAATATCAAAAACATATGTGAAGAAATAAAAAGTTACCTGGGATTATTCACCCTTTTTCTATCAGAGGACTGTCATGTGATTTTTTTAAATCAAAACTAGTGCTTTATCAGTAAAACAAAACTATGCTGGTCATTGCAGTTACATTTGCTATGTGTTCATAAGCGTACTGCCAGTTTAAAATGACATTGCTCAAAAACACATAATAGGAAAGTGGATTTATAGCTTTAAGATATTGGAAAAGATGCTTGAAGGGTCTAGATATTATATATATGATATGGTTTATGGTGGAGTAAAACAAATTTTCCCTTTTTTTAATGTCAAACCCACAAATTTCACTTGGCTTGCTTTTGTAAAATAAGAAGAAACATTACGTAATGTATGTAAAATGTCTCAATTTTTTTACCTCAAGATAGCATCAATACATATTTTTCAGGTTTATATTTTCAAAGCATTAGCATTACAATTTTAATGCAAAGACATTTAACTGATCATAGGATACACAGAGCAACGAGACGCGTCTGTCTTTTTCTTGAAAACATATTTATAGTTGAGTTTTACTAAAACCTTGATTGGTAACATTTGAAATATTAGCTATCACATATATTTATTCAGTCCTACTACAGCTTACCTGTGAGATATCCAGCTTTTAAATGTTGCTTTTGTGCAGGATGTATGCAGGTTGGGATTTGGCTACTGCTGAGGAAGTGTTGACCTTTTATTTCACTCAACTCATTTTTATATGTACAGGCAAACTGAGAATTGATTGAAGATTGCTTCATCTGCAAAGAGCAATCTGGTATTAGCTTTAATTATTTATTTAATTATTTACAAAAGTAAAAGACAACACCTGCAAGACAAGTAAAATAATAAGTTTCCCCATTCTTCTGTCTTGAAAGCTTTTAGATCACGCAAAATACCAGAAAAATGAGTATGCTCACATAAAAGATATTTATGAAGTATTCATTTACAAAGTGTAAAGAATACTAATAAATTTCAAGAATACTAATAAATTATTCTATTAAAGTCCTAAAATAATTTTAAAATCTTTTTTCATCTCTTTCAGAAAGTTACACATTAACCTTTAAAGCTTCAACCTAAGATATTCTGTCAAAGTTAGCCCCCTCTTTTTATCAAAAGACTGCAGACTCTATCATTTTGAGTAGCTGTCATAGCTACTAGTCAATTATCATACTTCTACAGGTCATCATCTTTGAAATGTCAGTTCATAAATGCCAAGTATAGGATTAGAGTCTCACCACTTAACCAATTTATACATAGAGGAAAGCATAATAGCAACACTGAAAAGGAATGATAGATAATATAAATGAAACTTCAATATACTTATACCTAAAACTGGAATATAAAGTATTATTTCAGATCTTTCTTTGGCAAATTTCAGATTTCCCTTTTACTCACAAAATAAAGCCATTTCCTCATTGAATGCCAATGTCTAATTCCACATTTGTCATAACATACCCATATAGCATAAGCTGCCAGAAATCTACAGTATTGAAGACCACTATCTGGTTCTGCATGCTCATCTCCACCTCCTAGTCTTCAAAGCTGGGAACCTAGTCTCATAGCACAGGTAAATCAAAATATTTGGCTCAACTACAAAAAATTAAATAAAATTTTTCAATATATTCAATATATCCATATTTAATGGAATCAATGGTTACACATCAAACTTCCTCAGTTTACACTTAAGTTACAGCTTCACATCAGCTTAGAATTTCAGGGTCAAGCTTTGTAGATTCTGGCCAATTTATCACAAACACTACAGACTCTGCAAGACAAATCTGCCCTCACTCCCATTTGAAAGTCTACTGGATTATACTAAGATATGTTGAAAAGTATAGCACAGAGCAGATAATTACAATATATTAGGATTTTTAGCTAATAATTCTATTATAACAGCACAGGTGAATTCAAATAAATCTGAGCTGAACAGCTGCTACAGTACAAATATCAGGAAAAAGAAAAAGCAAGAAATTGTCACAAAAGAAATGTAGTCATAAATATAGATAACAGGAATGATCTGTCAAATAACAGGTTTAAAGCCACTTTTCTGATTAAAAAGTTTGCATTATGCAAGTCTACTTCTCTTCTTAACACACACATTTAAATCTTACATTTCAGGTTTGACCCCTGTAGATATGTTTTTCTTTCAACTCAAAAATCTCAGATTTAGACAGAAAGAAAGAAAATGTTCTCAGAAACCTTCTTTCACAGGGGCCTTCATCCACAAAACTGAATCACCATTTATACCACTTTCATCAGATACTGTTTTCATGCATATAAGCTAACAGACTCTAGCTTTTTATCATTGAGATGCAACCTAAGTATCTCTTCATGATACTGCAGTTGTCCAGGTGAACACACCTATTCTTTTTGGGGAAAAGAAAAAAATAATAAAAAAAAGAAATCACACTTATTTACAGAACTTATTTAGTTCTTCTTTCTGACTTAATATGTCTGTACATATATAGTTTTACTTCAAACTCAGTATTCCCTTCAAGAATTAAAAAGACCCAATTTTCCCACTTGTCCATCACTCCCAAAGTGCAATTTCTCTGTGCCAGATAACAGCCTGAAAAAGAAAGGCAAATTTAACAGGAAGAACTAGACAGCCTGACTCTCAACAATTCTAATCTTTAAGTGTTAGTCTACTCTGTACTTAAAACTTTTACCGTAAGTTAAGACTATATACACAGACATTTACAAGGTTTTGTGTGCTTCAAGTTTATGCCTTAGATCACCAAGTCATTAAGTGTATGTCATTATACTCTTTTCAGAAAGTGTTTTGATGGATAGAGAAGCTATAACCAGAATAAGCTTAAGAATTTGAAATAATTAGAAATGCAACTCTAATCTAGTTAAAACTTAATCAACATCCTACTGTACAATTACAATATTCAGAATTATACAAATACAATATTCGGTATTGTAAGCTGCATCACAAGAAGCGTGACCAGCAGGTCAAGGGAGGTGATTCTCCCCCTCTGCTCTGCTCTGGTGAGACCCCACCCGGAGTACTGCCTTCAGCTCTGGAGTCCCCTGTACAAGACAGACATGGACCCATTAGAGCGGGTCCAGAGGAGGGCCATGGAAATGGTCAGAGGGCTGGAGCATCTCTCTTGCGAAGACAGGCTGAGAGAGTTGGGGTTGTTCAGCCTGGAGAAGAGAAGGCTCCGGGCAGACTTTATAGCAGCCTTCCAGTACCTAAAGGGGGCCTACAAGAAAGCCGGAGAGGGGCTTTTTACAAGGGCAGGTAGTGACAGGACAAGGGGTAATGGCTTTACACTGAAAGAGGATAGACTTAGATTAGATGTAAGGAGGGAGTTCTTCACTGTGAGGGTGGTGAGGCATGGAACAGGTTGCCCTGAGAGGCTGTGGATGCCCCATCCCTGGAAGTGTTCCGGGCCAGGTTGGATGGGGCTTTGAGCAACCTGGTCTAGTGGAAGGTGTCCCTGCCCATGGCAGGGAGGGTGGAACTAGATGATCTTCAAGGTCCCTTCTAACCCAAACCATTCTATGATTCTATCAATATAAGGGGCTTACATTTTCTTTAAGCTTAAGGTTACTGCAATACTAATGAAAAATATTTTCCTGTATTTGCTATGTTTCTTAAACACTCCACCTTAATCCTTTAAAATTCCCTCAATTCTTAATTATTGTTCAGCAAACGACACACATCAAAAATTACACAACAATAACTTGCACAGAATTCTATCACATATTCATATTGTGAGAGGCAAATAAGCTACAATTTGTGCTGAGTTGATGAAGCTATAATAAACACAGCACAAAGAACACCAGACTTGAGCAAGAAACCCTGATAGTTACCATTCTATAAACAACAATAAATCCAGTTATTCTTTGGGACATCAGGATTTCTCTTCACCACTCCCATCTGACACTTCACTGATTCAGTTTGCAGGGATTAGAATATGTGGAGTCAAAGGACAGAAGTCAAGCCCAAACACTGAAAAACTTGCAGCACAAACCCATCTGTCTGTTTCAACTTCACTGAAGCTTGAAATATGCCTCAAAACTCCACTCTGTATTGCATCACATACTATTTGGTCATTTGCAAACAGTATACAAAGCTCTACCAAATATGACTGTTTCAGCTGATGCTAGTACTATTCTAGAGGGTATATATAAATAAAGAGGGCAAGACTAAATTTGTTGAAGCAAACTTCCCAACTAGTCTAGGAATGTATATTTACTAGTAAAAACAACTGTATTACATTGAGTGAGGTAGCAATAAATAAATTTTAATAGCCTGCAGGCAGAACAAAAGAGCACAAGAAGTCTAGCACTGAATTATAAAGTAGAGCTTCACTGGAATTTTTAAGAAAAAAAAAAAAAGAGTGACTTAAAACTTGATGGAAGCACACATAATGAAGCCCGTCAACAGTTTGAAATAGCTCTTAGAAATTAGAATTCTTTTACATTAAATTCACTGAAATCCACTGCTTTGAGGGCACCAGCCCAATGACCCACACCTCTGGGAGAGCAAAAGGATGTTGGGAGCTCAATTTGCTAATCAAATAGTTGCACACAAATGGTGTGCAATAAACTCAGACTTACTATCCCCTCTCCTCTTCACAAGCAAGTGGGATGTTGTTATTATCCCTGTACAAAGAAAGAAATTCTGCTGTATTTCAGAAAAAAGGGTTAGCTGTTATCGCTGTTCGGCTGGAAGAAAGTATGACAGAATTTAAGACAGAGTTTCAGAGCATTTAGGTAAATTAGTAGTCCTAATGAGTAGATAAAGCAGGACATTTTCCCACCTTGACTTCTATATCTAGAGAAGTTTTTCAGTTGTTCAAGATGCCAATATAAAACATTCACTTTTATATGAAATATTAATGGTGCATGCTCTATTTATTTCTAAAAGTTAGTTGATAATCTATTCCAGATCTCCTTCCATCATCTGCATACAGACAGTACTGCCAATATTTAGTCACTAAGAATGTTGAGATTTGTTTTTTTATACACTGGAATGGCATAATAGAATTTGAAAACCTACATCAGTAACAACAAACACATGTTTTTATTTTCTAGCCAAACATTTAGAGTACTATTTGGAAGAGGAAAAGAGATAAAAAGAGAAAATGTCTCTTTTCCACCTTTACCCTTGTCCGTTTAGAAGAAAAATATTAAAGGTAAGTTGAAAGAGAAAGTTGAAAAAGGGAAGGGATTGCAAAGGGAGAGTAACAAAATAAATGGTAAGTATCATTGCCAAACCAAGGCATCATGTTATTCAAACATGAAAAATGTCCTGAATAGCTCAGGTAATAGCAAGTTTTTATTGTACTGAAACTATCAAATTTTTTTTAGCATGACGTTGTACCAGCTTTTTGCTATCCCAAATTAACCGACTACTGTTTTGAGAACATTTAGCCTCAAATCACCTCATTATTGGGTTTCTAAAGTACTCAAAACTCACAGCTACAGAGCCTAGCAAAGTAGTTTAGGGGTCTTGCAGAAACAAAAATGGTACTTTCTACACAAGTGTGGTTTATCAAGTGACGCTAATATTAATGTCTTTCTTCAGATTTTATGCTGAACATAACCTTTTCCTCCCCTCCCCCTCTCTTCTCCAGATACTCATTTTTTGCATACTCCATACACATTGAAACTACTAATCTGCTTAGTGTTCTCCATAATTGTATTCCACTTAGAAATAAATATTTCTTGCTACAATAGATGAGACCTGAGGAAGATTGTTTTCTCTATTACTATGAATTTTCTGCTCACAATTATAGTG